TGCTTTGAAAAATGAAGGCAAGTCTCTCATGCACTCACACACCAAATTATTTGTAGAAGGTGAAATGTTAATTCATGTTAGTGAAGCTTGACTTTCATTCACAGTACTCTCATTTTTATTGTAAGATGGCAAAAAACACATGGTTCTGTACAAGAAGGGATGTATTAAGACAGTTCTTCATTTTTGTAATTACTTTTTTGGCTCCCATGAATATCCACACCACTGAACATTTTGCAAATAATCAGTTATATTATCATCTCCATCATTTAATCCACTGAATTTACCACCACAAGAAAGACAAAAGAAAGTTAGTTTAATGATCCCACATTACACAGAACTCTCATTTCTGAAGTTATACTAAACTGAAACCTTCATAGTGATCTATAGCCTGGATCAGCTTAGATTTTAGGGTTTCTTTATCTGTGTATTTTGGAAGATCAAGAAGATTAAAGCAAGTGTGAGCTACCGGAAGATAACCTTCTCCACCTCCCGTTGGTTGGATGACTAGTTTAAGACACTTCATTCCAAGAATTGGAATACGATCACTGCCTGTCAGAAACACTGCCAAGAAAAAAACAAACAAAGTCCTGAAGGTAGTTTAAGACTAATACTGTATATCCCATATACCACCATCCTAATCATTACTTGCATTTTCCAATTATTCTAGCAGTGGCTAGCTTTTCACATTAAAATCGTTCAGATAATTTCGAAAAAAAGAAGTAATGACTCAACCTGCTCTCCAGCTAGCATATATAAACTCTTCACCGTGACACAACAAGGGATATACAAAGGAAAACATTTTAACACGTGAGGCCAAACAATCATTGATACAAGAGTAGAAAGTTCCTCTTGTATCAGGATGTATTATTTAAAATTGATTATCTGTACCATTACCACATTTGTAACCACCTTACAAAGACAAAGAATTTGATTTTCAATTAGAAGTTCTGTTGAACTGGGAACAAGCCTATGATCTAGTCTCAGCAACAGCTCATTCACAGAAAACTTGCAAACTTTCTCTT